GTAACCACTCTAAGTTGTAGTTCTTGATTCTGTTAAATACAATATCTCCCTTTGGAGTGGACTTTGAGCTTTGTAACCTTGCAGATCTTTTTATGCTCTAACAGCAACATTACACAATAGCTAAAGTTGAAAAAGTGAAAAAGCGTAATAGGACGCCTTAAAATATCTTTCCAGAGACCTTGTCCTTGCCATTAGTATATAGTCAGTACATGATTTTCTAATTTGCATTATACACTGTAAAAAGTGTTAACCTGCAATTGTTACCTTACCTTAACCCATAAAAAATATATTTTGTTTGTAGAAATTAATGTATATAGGTTGATTTTGCAATATTAAATACATTTTTTTTTTTAGTTAATTTAGTTGTGATCAGTTTTAAGTTACCTTTTTTTTTTTTATCATGATGCATAATAAGGTTCATCTTTTCATAAGATAATTTTTATCTGCCATACACCCAACTAAATCACTTATATTACATTATTATTGAAGTAAACATGATTTCCAGCAATAGGGAGAGACAAATAATTTAAGCAGGGCATTTTAGTGAAGTTATAATAGTGTTCATCAGTGCCAGGGAATGGGGATGTTATTCACATGTTATTACAGGACCCTTGTCTTGTTGATATATGGTGGTCAAAGCCCAAAGTAAATAGAATACACATACCATTAATGTCATAAATCTTATTTAGGATAGACTTTTTTTTTGTATCAAACTCTATTGATCAGATATTACGCTGCAAAATTGGCACAATCACAAGACCTTGCACCTGCGGAGCACTATGTCAACTTAACCCCCAAAGAACCACTAAAGCAAAATTGCAATAGTTGTTTGAAGCAAATAAATTTGTCATATAGTTTTCACTGAATAAAACTCATACCCTGAAATGTATCAGCAACAAGATTGACAGGGAAATATTTATAATTTTCACCTGGACTAATGGACGAAATAAGCTCATGCAATTTACACATGAACACTACCGGAGAAAACTTTTATGTTTATGTAAATGAAAATGTTGATGTTTATGTGTTAGGTCAGAAATCTTTTGTGGCTGTTCGGACACATTCTACACTACAAAAGCAATCCGGTTGAGTGCGCTGTCGACTACCTCTGGAAGTGGTGTAAACAGAGCCAAAGACTATATCTGTCCAGGGTGTTTCCCTGCCTTCAGTCTAAGATATGCTAGGATATTCTCCGGTGCTCCCCATCACACTATATTAGATGAACGGGTAAGTTGGATAGGTAGATAGATGGAAGGATGGATGTTTTAATATGAGAATTGAGATTCTCCAGCGGCAGCCATTCTTTGTTGTAAACGAATTCAACCCAAGCGCTCTTTGGTGACGTGGAGGATTACGTTACTGTTGATCATCTGTCCATCATCGTATAAAGCCCGCACTGACAATTTGATTGGTCCGAACAGCTTTGGTCCGGGCATACTTGCTTCACAACGGATCGAACTTCCCATCCTCAAATGTTGTGGGCGGGGCTAAGTTCGGCTGGCATCCAGGCTACCTAAATATATTAATTTAGGTCAGTTTTTACGGAGTGTCTATTCACACAAGGTGGGTTAGAGGCTATTTACACTAACGTCTGGTTGGGCCAGACAAAAGTACGGAAGACACAGGATTGCCAACAGCAGTGATAGTGGTAAAGGTGCATGGCAGAGGGTTTTGATGCAAATCGACCCGTGTTCGAATCCGCCTTTTGCCGAACTAGCTCTACACCCCCTTTCCCCATAACATTTTGGATCGGAAAGGCAATTATTTTCAAAAAAAAAATGAAGAAAACATTCGAAATGTGGAAATAAAGTGTGTTTAATAATAAATTGTTTATAGGTTAGGGTTAGATGGAAGCTTGTTTCTGCCACGGAATAAAACAATTTAAGAGATAATTGCGACTTTTTATCTCACAAATTTAACTTTTTTTCTTACAACTGCGAGATATAAAGTCAGAATTGCGAGATATAAAGTCAGAATTGCAAGATATAAACTCGCAATTCTGACTTTATAACTTGCAATTGTAAATTTATATCTCGCAATTCTGACTTTATTTCTTGCAATTCGGACTTTATAACTCCCAATTGTGAGAGAAAAAGTCAGAATAGAGAGATAAAAGCTTGCAATTACCTTTTTTATTTTTTATTCAGTGGCAAAAACAAGCTTCCATAGGGTTAGGGGTAGGGAGAGTTTTATTTTCTGAATAAGGCGGCATCCATGTAATAATTTCAATAAATATAATAATTTACACTCTATGTTATTATTGCATACTGTTTAATGTACAACAACACTTAGGCGCAAAAAGTATCTGCACTATTTATAAGTATAAATAGCAACATTACATAGTGTAAATATAACCTATTGTTATTTAAACTTAGTGTAAATAGCAGCTATCACAAATAAAATATGGTATTTTCACTTAGTGTCAATAGCCGCTGCCCAATTTTTCTGGGTTAAATCAGGTAAAATGGTAGCCTGGGAAAACCCAGACAACTTCCGGCAAATTTAGATTTGCTCTGAAAGTTAGTCTGGCAAAGAGTTCATTCAAGCCCATTTCCAATCCGTCGAAATCGAGGCACCAATCAGAAGCGTTGGGGCGGGCTTTACACGATGAGGACAGCGCTGGGATTTTGAAGCAGATTTTGTAGCCTACATTACAAAGATGGATGCCGCCGTCGAACATCACTCGTTCCAATCAGCTATCGCGTCTGTTTTAAGCCATTTGAACGTTTCCTTTTAGTTAAAAACCGAGCAAAGAACAACTCTCTGAGATGTTTCTCCACCGCTCTGCATACGTCATCTCCTTCATCGCTCTGATTGGGTTTAGGTCTATCCGCGACGTCCGTTGGTGACGCCCCTCTGGAAATGATTTGTCTATGATGCTTTGCCAGACCATAACTCAGATACAACTGAGAATGCTCTGGTTTTAACCAGGCTAGTAAAATGGCTCTGCCATTCAACAATTTCATGTCAACACTTTTTAAGTTTTGCCAACTTCAATTGACTGTTCACCTAAAAATGTTATGTCCATTTTGTGAAAATTGTCCAAAACAACATTGGATCCCAATGACTTCATTGTGTGGACAAAAAGAAGAAAGAAAGAAAAAAAAATGAAGAGGCATGCATATCATCCTCTCTGTTCCACAGAATAAAACAGGTTTTGGGATGAGGGTGTGTAAATGAAGATAGAATTTTCCATTCTATTTGAACTATCCCTTTAAATATATGCTTTAATATGTATGCCTGCTTTATCTTTTTTTTTTTTTTTTTTTACAAAAAAGGTTTTTGGGGGGTTTTTCACGCAACTGAGCTTCACTATGAACATGATATCTTGTGATCAGCATTCAGAAGGCACGTCGTCTCCTGATGGCTGATATCTCAGGGCATGTCAACGAATCGCTGACAGGCAGCAGATGTTGTGCTTGAAGGCCAGCTTTGCTAGTAATGGACTCATATTGTGAAGACAATGAGGGGTTTCAATGGATTCTTGTTGCAACAGACAAGGCAGTTATGAAATAATCAGGTGCCATGAGAACAGGTATCATAAACATGCTAACTCAAGTTTACTATATTGGATATGTGATATGAAGAATGCTACTGTCAAAACTGAAGGTCAATTCACCACAGTGAAAACTTGATGTGAAGAAAATGAGTGTCACTTACCACAAACAAGAGAGTCAAATGATTTTCTGGTTTCTAGAGATGGCTTGGGTGTCTCCTTTAATGTAGGCTAATTTTGAGTTGTTGTTATAATGCCCATAGCATAAATGTTGCAGGATGAGTCATGCGTATAGTATAGTAATGCTTGTTTTACTGTACAATCATCATCAACATCAGTCAGCCAAGCAGCTCTTCATTCAACCCTGAAACATTTGCCTTTTTTCTGCTGTCATTCTATGATATGTGTGATATTTCTGTGTAACGTTTCCTCGTTTCCAGCTCCTAGTCTTAAGGCCAGCTTTCCTCAGGTCTAAAACATCACATTTATTCCCCCACTATAGACACAAGCACACACACTTCCAAATGTTCCTCTTCAAATTGCAACATCACAATAAATTTCAGCAAGGCACACACTGCTTAAGCTTATCTGAACATTTGGACATCTGCAGCGATTTCAATCAAATCATAGAATAAAATGAAAAGCATGGCTGATCATATTTCTGTGAGCTGGCAGTGCAGTTTTCTAGAAACTGAGGATGATTTAGCATGGCAGGAGACTCGGACATCTAGCCGAACCACAGACAGTCTCATTCCCTTATTATTCTCATAATTATCATTCCATATTATCAAGTCATCTCATTAGCACATCAGCTCAGTTCTTATAATTACACCGGCTTAAAAATTCATTTAAAAAGTGTGTTGCTTGCTTGTATATTTCCTATCAGAAATCCTTGAATGAACTTGTACTCCAGCAACCTGTTTGCACTGAGCCTGAGATAGTCTCCTGCTATAGACAGCATTTCTCCTCTTCTTGTCTCTTTGCACCATGCATGCATTTCCAGAAACCTCAATCTCCCTGGTAACACTTGAAGGCTACAGTCATTATAATGCATTAAATATCTTATCAATTGTATGTTTTTTTTTATTACAAATAATTGTAACTTCACTTAGCCAATAACACTTAACCCATTCATGGGTAAGAATATTATAGCCTAATTATGAACAGCCAAAATATTAAGGCTATAACTGTGTGTGAGTATTTACAAGAACAACATTATAATGCATTAACAATAAAAAAAAAAAAGCATTATAGTAGCCATAATGGTTTATTTAAAATACATTTGATAACCTATCAAAACTTTAAACCTGGGAAAGGATGATGTTGATTAAACACCCTATCCGTCTTCTACCGTGATATGCTGCTGTGTTTAATTTTTAATGTGTATTTCCAAATATTGGAAGGTTGTCTTGGTTAGTTAAGTCATGTGTAAACTAGCGCGTCATGTACTATCTTTAACATATTGAGCCAAATGCAGGTATAGTGTGTGTGTGTGTGTACTTACACGAAAACTCCGAAGAGCAGGAGTCTGACGGCGATCTCCAGCGCCAGCTCACGCGCGTATTTCCTCCGGTCTGGGGGAGACATCTTCATATTCTTCTTCACACAATCGATTTATGACTGAAAGAAACCAAAGGCAGAAACCAGAGAAGTCGCCGGTAGTCCACAGTTGTCCTAAACACGCGACACACTTTGGCGTCCGGCACCGGCTGTCTGCCGTTTAGTGTTCATGTGGAAAACACCCGCTGCTGCTGAAATGCCTTGTTGCTCTTCAGTTGCAGTGTGTGTGTGTGTGTGTACAGTACAGTATCGAGTTCAGTTTCTTGTGAAGCTGCTGTAGTCTGAATCCTGTAGTGCGCTGAGTGAAGGAGGACCGAGGAAGATAAACATCCGAGCCAGGTGATGATGAGGAGGAGGATCAAGTCTCTCTCTCTCTCTCTCTCTCTCTCTCTCTCTCTCTCTCTCTCTCTTTCTCTCTCTCTCTCTCTCTCTCGTCTTGAAATTTGCGTTACGTTTGCAGTACGGCCAGGTAATGAGTTTTTGGTATAAAACAGTTGTATATGCACAATCATTTCACTGCTTTGTATCTTTAAATAGGCTATTTTGTGTTTGAGTCTCCAGACTCCAGACTGTATATTGACGGTTACAGATGGTGATAGCTAGCAATGATTACCATATTCATCATGATTAGACATGTTCTGAAATTAATTTTCAATGCTCCCTCTTCTTCCTTTCATACTACTTACACATAATATTGCTCTGTATTTAGGGCTAATGTAGCTATATTGCATCTAATTATGCATTGAAATATGCTTGCATACTTATACACACACACAAAAAGAGCACAACTCTTAATGTTAATCAGTAAAAATATCCTGGTTAGACTAAACATATAATTAGACTATGCAAGCCATTATATTGTTCACTATAGGCTATACTGCACATGTTCACAAGTACAAATAACCATGTTGAGGTAACACTTTATTTTACAGTGTCCTTGTTACATACGTTACATGTACTTACCATAGTAATAACAGTAAATTATGCATAATTACATGCTGCTAACCCTCAACCAAATCCCAATCTTACCCTAACCCTAGTAAGTACAGTAAAGTTGTTAAATAATATTACTCAGTTCTTAAAAATATAATTGCACTGTAACAATGACACCTTAAAATAAAGTGTAACCTAATAGGTTATACTTTATTTTAATGGTAATATGCTAGTACTTGTTTTTTGTTTGTGTTTTTACCGTTCTTTAGTTCATTTGTTGTCATAGCTGTTCATTTGATATTGTCGTTGTGTTAATTAAGTTTCATTGTCGGGTCTCGTCAATGTTTGCGTTGTGTTGACTGTTGTTCTTCATCTTCTTCGCCGTGCGTTTGTTATTACCACACAACCCGTGACAGTACTACGGTACAGTGTGATGTAACATAAATCAAATAGAAAGGATTTCCATGTCATGCTTATGGCATTTACAGTGTTCTGCAAGGTACACTACTTCAAAATATACTTTGTGATTTACCACCATGTGCACCATTTTAGTGCCGTGAAAACTGCAAAAAAAATAACGTTTCAATGTTTAAATTACATAACTACAGTGTAATAACAACATGTACTAAATTTACTGTAATTATTTTGGATAGAACTTGTGGTGTGGATATATTTCATGACTTTATTTAAAGTAACTAAAAACTCTGGTGTAATTACAGATAACTAGAAGATGAAATCCACACAAATTAAAAATGCAACACGTAACGGTAACACAACATCAAGACAAGAACCAACAATTAAACACTCGAAACAAATAGACAAGGGATAACAAAGACCTCAACACGAAATAAGAAATCAAAAACCATGCAAACCAATGGAAAGAGGAAATTAACACAGGGAATTAAACAATATATATATTTATACAGTTTTGAATCAATGTTGTTTGCTAACTGTAACAGATGCATGAGGCGGCACATCCCTGTCCATTACTTCATGTTGCCGATTAGTGAGAGAAGAAAGTACAGGAACTACTGCGTGGAGACAATGATCTAAAAGCCCAGCAGATCTGAGATTTAAACCTGCAGGCAACAGCACAGCTTTGTTCCCACTTCACAAAACCTCATGAATATTTTAGGCAAGACTGGCTGTCTCCTTCCTGTTTCGCCACAAAATACACCCAACTTCTCAGCGACGTTTTATAGCAAAGATTGCATCAAACGATTTTCAGTGCTTGTAAAATACATGTTAAAATGTGATCATTTATCAGCTTCGTGCATAATTTCATGTCCTCCTCATTTTTAATTGGTGATGGTTAATGTCACTTCAGCTGCTTTATACTTCCTCAGATTCTCACATTTCACTCTCCATTTGCTGTCTCCTTTCAGATTTAATGTGCAATCTCTCGTTATCTGCCTGTTTTTCAGAGCCTCGCTAATAAGGAACGGGTCAACACTTGCTACATAACAAATGAAAGTACAAGAAAAAAAACCTCAAAGAATGGCTACAAGATAGATAGTGATTGTACAAAGAAGAAACAGTAATTTTCTATTTCAAGGTAGATTGTTGTTATTTGGAAACACTTCCATGAACATTGCTAATAGAATAGATTTGTGTGGCCACTAACAATACGATTTCTGGTTTACACTGTTTTTGTGACTGTGTTTTGTGAATTTTTGTGTTTAGCAGCACAGATCTTAAACGAGTAGGTTAACCAGAGATCCCTTCTTTAAAGGGTTAGTTCACCCAAAAATGAAAATGATGTAATTAATGACTCTCCCTCGTGTCGCTCCAAGCCCGTAAGACCTCCGTTCATCTTCGGGACACAGTTTAAGATATTTTAGATTTAGTCCGAGAGCTTTCTGTCCCTCCATTGTAAATGTGTGTACGGTATACTGTCCTTGTCCAGAAAGGAAATAAAGACATCATCAAAGTAGTCCATGTGACATCAGTGGGTTAGTTAGAATGTGTTGAAGCATCGAAAATACATTTTGGTCCAAAAATAACAAAAACTAGGCCTTTATTCAGCATTGTATTGTCTTCCGGTTCTGTTGTGGATCCGCGTTCAGTGCCGCCGCTGACGTGTGTCTTGACATCATTTTCATTTTTGGGTGAACTAACTCTTTAATATCTTGCAATGTCCATCACATTATTTCTTTCTTGGCTTTAGTTTAGGTTAGTGATACAAAAAATAGACATGTTGTGTGGGACAGCTAGTTATTCATCGTAAGGCACGAGACATACCCTATACATACAAGTATGTGAGCAATAATACTACAAAAGATTTTGTGATCTTTGTGTTCCGAAAATCACAATTTGTGACTAGAAATGCAACGCATTTGATTTTTTTTAAACAAAGTACATTTTGCATGTTTTGAATTGCAACAAAGATGAAAAATGCTGAATTCACTGAAAAATATTTTATATGGACATTTTTTATCTTCCGGTCAACTACTGTCATAGTCGTGCAAGAGAAAATAGGGTACTCTTTTGATAATATTCCTTTATTAAGTCAGAATATTAACACATTCGGTTTAATAGTACTTAAACATATTAAGGTTCTCAAGAGCACAGAAACATAAGAAAGCACATTCAACACCACAAATACGATGTGTTGGCCAAGCATTTGAGTTTGTATAGTGTTTTTATGTGGCTTAATGTATGTTTTTATTTGAAAATGATTTGCTCTCATCAACATTTAAATCCTTTTAGATGACCAGCAAAGTAGCTATCGACCGCTTTTATGACCTGTAATGAATGGATGTGCCTTTGGTTTGGAAAGGCTAAACCTTGTTAACACTTCTAAATGTTGATTGTAGCAGCCATAATATCAGTTTCATCATTCGTGAATTTTATATATAGACCATGCACTTATGTGCTGCCCTGATGGCACATTCTGATATTCCCATCTGAAAAGCAATGAATGTGAAATGTGAGATATTCACACAAGCGTTAGTTCCTGAGCATCCTTCTTCCGACTCAGACACCTACTCACCTCAGATTAGCTCGCTCTTACCCACACTGTATCCGCAGATGGATTCATTCACTGTTTTTAGACTGCTAGAAATAGCCTCTGATTTGAAGCCATCCACAAAGGATGTCCAATGTACTGATCGAGACACTTAAAACAGGCGCTTCCTCTACAGTGAGGATTAAAGTCGCCCTGTTGTCAATAATAGTATCCCTTAAAACTAATTTTTGGCATATTTTAAAACAAAAATCTGGAAAAACAAATGTCTTCATGCCTTAAAATAGCTTGAATGTAACTCGACGCCCTTGCCTCATTTAGTATGCGCGGTTCTATGAATATGCAAATGAGCCCCGCCTCCACTCACTCACTCAGCTCAGAGATCACACGTTGATCTGATTGGTTACAAGGTCGTTTGTGACGTCAGAAACACCAGCGATTTCAAACCGTGTTTTTGAGACTGTCTTTGGTTAACTGCAGTTTTAAGGAGAAAACACTCAGCAATGCTGTCGACTTATGAACTTACACATGGTTTGTCTTAAAGCATATTAAAAACACCACATAGACACATAAACAACATGAAAAGCTGGATTTCCACCACAGGGTGGTGACTGTAACTGTATAAGGCCCTGTTTACACCTAAGATGTGTTTTGGTCGATTCACTTTCTTTCAACCACTTCTGTCCTGATTTCTTCAAGGGGAGGGTCTATGAGTGGGTAAATGTATGGGATTTTTCAGATCTTTCGATCTAATGGACAAAATAAGCTTGCGTAATTTGCATATGAAGTGCACAGAGACTACAGAAAAACATACGGAGAGCATCAGCTTTAGTTTCTGCTCTGACAGCCGAAGACCAGCCGAACGCTGTGAGTGTATGTTAGAAATCAGGAATGCTGAGAGAACATTGTGCTTGGTACGTTTATCTTCAAAACAAACTTGGGTCTTCAGCCAACAAAGTGTTTATGCATTAGGTCTGTAGATGAGAGAAGTCGGTCTTTTGTGGCTGTTTGAACACATTTGATCACATGAGCGTTTACAATATGACAGCAATCCGGTCGGATGTGTTTTCAACTACCTCTGGAAGTTGTCGAAAGTGGATAAGCTCAAAGAGTTTTAGACCCTGTGTACACCTGTATTTAGTGTCGTCCACTTGTGATCCGATCGACCAAAATGGATCTTAATCCTCTGGGGACTAAGCCCTTTTTGGTCCGTTTTCTCTATTTTTACATTTGGGCTTATAAACCATGAGATGGATCACTATGTGTTTGGTATCTATGGATTCAGAAGACCCTAAGATAACATAAGCATGCATGTAATGTGTTTATAAAGGAAGTATGAGTGAAAAATGTACTATAAACTGGAGAATTTCATAAACGGAAATTAGATTTTTCTTATTTATTTCTGAAAATCACACATCACACAAAAA